ATATCTATTAAAACAATGCAAACAAAGCATTTATGGATAATAATTTCTCCTTCAGAATTACACAATTTAACATAATCCAAAAGATTGAAATGCATATAAACATTTTAACAACAATGCATAACTCAAAAGATTTCATAAAATACCCTACTAGCGTCTCAAGTAGGTCACCTATATACCCCACCAACATCCTGGATGGGTCCAAACAATCCTCACCGGCGTCCCGGATGAGTCCAAATAGTCTCCACCGACATAATTGGATAGGTCCTAATAATCCTTGCGGGTCTAAACATAGCTCATCGGCATCCCAGAAAAGTCCAAATAGTCCCTAACGGCATAACCGGATAGGTCGTAACAATCCTTGTAGGTCCAAACATACCTCACAGGCATCCCGGATGAGTCCAAATAGTCCCTACCGGCATAACCAGATAGGTCATAACAATCCTTGCAGGTCTAAACGTACACCACCGGTGCCCCAGATGAGTCCAAATAGTCCATACCGACATAACCAGATGGGCCCTAACAATCCCTGCAAGTCCACTTATACTCAAATTATCTCAGAAACTCTTTTAACATCAGAAAGCAGCAACATCATATATACAAAGTATCATTGAATCATTAACAGGAATTCACTTGAAGCAATTTAAACAATCACTTTCAATGAAATATTTGTAAGTAACCAGTTAAACATTTTGACAATAATTTCTTAAAGGTAGCAGTTCTGAAGGACATTCGTGAAATGTAACATGATAAACAGTCTAGTATCAATAGAAGAACTCTTATGGAAATCCAAAATTAAATACGAAATTATCACAATTTATGGAATTGCCAATTCACAAATAGTCATTTCATAGGCAATACTACGATCAATTGCAGAAATATCAATTTTTTAAATAATGAGGAAGTCATTTGCACATGAATTTTATAATATCTAAATATTCAAAACTGTAGAAGGATATTTCACAATTTTACTAAAAGCGAAAATATCACATTTATTTCTAATAATTTACAGTATCTAAATTCTCAACAATAGACAGGAAAAAGAAACTTATTTCTAAGAATTTACAGCATTTAAAACTTCTAAAAATAGATAAAATATCACAATTTTACTAAAAAGATTATTTTTCAAGACAATGAGGTCACTTACTTTGAGGATGCCGATATGCCCATGGGATGATCATCCACGTATCATGATGCATAAATACATGGTCGAAGCTTGAGATTAGAGAGATCCAAGAGACTATGTCTCTCTTAGGCATTGTGTCGAACATTTTGGGCGTGGTGCTGAAAAGGTCACATCGTGCATACAGATTGATGAGGTGATTGGAGACGAAAAAGTCGTTTAGAGAGAGAAGTAGCCATCTTTTGTGGAGAACAGTGCCAAAGAGTGGGAGCTTGAGATTGGTGCAGGCTTGAAAGAGAGCAGAGTAAGTCTAAAGGTGGTGCATAGTTGGAGCATCTAAGAGAGAGAAAGATTGAGCTCTACACACTACTAAGTGTGAATTCATTGGGTTGTTAGAAGAGAGAGAAATTGCAAAGAGTGGGTGGAGAGTACAAAGTGCAATTTGTGTCCGTGAATGTGCCTCGTATAAAATCATCAAGGACATACCTAGAGAGAGAGTTTCGTTGGCATACCTAGAGAGAGAGTCTCGTTGGTTGTTAATGGTGTTAAAGAGAATGGGGTTGCGAGTTCCTTCCTCATCTCTCGTGTGGTTCCGGCTTGCCTGCTCGTGGAGCTGTTTCATGTTGATTCCTGGAGAACGAAAGTCGCTGCCTTCAGATGAACTTTATCTCTACGTCTCACCTGCACACATTATCTGTGGCGAGGATGGATTCGTGAAGGTTGCAGTGAGATGGCGATTTGTCTGTGAAATCTGCTGCCTCCTCTTCCATAATGCGTTGATGGGGGATTTGTTGATTCAAGGAGAAACCAGGAGCTGTTGTAACCATTCCTCTTGTTGAGCTATGAATTTGTTACTTTAAGAGAGAGGTGGAGAGGGTTAAAATGGTAGGGCCGGAGGGTAAGGCATGAGAAAGGGCTAATAAAATTATAACACCTAATACTATATGTGCCCATAACACATGAATTAAGATGGCAAAACAAAACGCTTAGCGTACACATCATAGGGCAACGTCAAAAAGAGGAACGACTGGTCCTCTTGGGCCATATTATAAAAGTGGTCTCCTATAGAAATGGTTCACAAGACAATCAAATGAAATTACTGTCAGAAAAGCTAACACTCCTAACCTAAACATATCCATGGTGCATTTTGACACAGCGAATTTTATTTTATTTTATTTATTTATTTTGTATTTATTTTTATCAACACTATTAAAGATATTTTTCAGTTCCAAAAAGTTTAAGTTTGTCACACTGCTTGACGCTTGTGTGGGCTATGAAGAATTTAAGACATTGTCTTATCTCATACAGTCAAGCTCATCTCAAAAATAGACCCATTCAAGTACCTATTGGAGAGACCAGTCCATAATGGACGTTTGGCAAAGTGGAGAATGCTGAGTTCGAGATCGAATATGTCACTCAAAAATTGATCAAATGACAAGCCATTGATGACCACTTAGCTGAACACGTATTGCTAGATAACACTCCCGTTAACACGGATCTCCCTGACGAGAACCTCTTCACAATTGAGGACTCAATTTGGGAGCTATGCATCGATGATGCAAGGAATGAATACGGGTCAGGTGTATGCATCATACTACGCCCACCAGAGAAGATTTTAATGCCAACAACCATCAGATTGAATTTCCCATATACCAATAACATTGCTAAATATGAATCCTTGATAGCCGAGCTCAATAACATTATGGGAATGAAAATCCAGCAAATACGAGTGATTGATTACTCCTTACTAGTCATAAACCAAGTTCAAGGGATTTAGAAGGTGCAAGAAGAAAAGCTCAAACCCTATCAAGAGAAGGTGGAAAAGATGATCCCATATTTTAATAAAATCACCTTTCTGCATGTAACTAGGGAAAATAATATGTTCGCTGACACCCTTGCAACCCTTGCTTCAATAGTTGATATTCCTTCAGAATCACCATGCTATCATTATACATCAGGAACAAACATGACTCTTCCCCACCAAGGATCGAAAAAGAAATAGAGCAACAAAATGAAAACGATGGGGAAGGGTCTCTCGAGGCTTCAGATGCGCTAGTTAAGGCAAAACCATGGTTCCAAGATTTCTGTCCCTGCTAAAAGATGGTTTATATCCCAAAAGAGCCACCGAAAAGGATAAAGAAGCCCTTCGAAGGTTTTCTATGGGATTCTTAGTAAGAGGAAATTTCATGTTAAAGAAATCCTTCGATGGCATCATTCTACGGTGTCTCGATCAACCAGAAATCGACCAAGTACTGACAGAGTTACACAATGAAGGAGGTTATTCTGGGGGCAGCCGCTTTAGCTCAAAAAATCAAGCGCCAAGGCTATTACTGGACCACCATGGCAGAAGATTATTGGAAGTTCATTAAGAGGTATCCCAAATGTCAACTTTATGCAGACCTCATCCATGCACTGTCTGTATCACTCAACTCAACACTGCCCGTATGGCCCTTTGCCATGTGGGGTCTTGATATCATCAGAATGATCTCTCGGAAAGCCTCAAACGACCACTGTTTTATACTAATGGTTATAGAGTACTTCACCAAATGGGTAGAGGGTGTGTCCTTTGTCAAAATTGAGCGATAACATGTTCCCTGTTTCATAAAGAACAACATTGTATTCAGATTCGGTGTTCTTAAGTCAATCATAAAGGGTCACTAAGCCATGCAAAAAGTTTGGGATAATGCAAAAATTCTCCACACCTTACTACCCTCAAGGAAATGGACAAGCAAAGGCCACGAACAAAGGACTTCTCAAAATTATAGACATAATAATAGAAGGTGGCAAAGATTGGTACGAAAAGCTAAATGACGCGCTATGGGCTTACCGGACAACCGATGAGACTCCTACTGGCATGACCCCATACTCATTGGTGTACGGTATGGAAGCGGTGTTACCCATTGAAGTTGAGATACCATCTCTCCTAGTGCTTATTCACAAAAAATTCAGATGAGGAACGAAAGATCGAAGCACAAATCGCTGCCCTCGTTACTTTGGATGAAAGACGACTATGAGCAACAAAAAATATCGTTGCTTACCAACGTAGAATCGAGAGCACATGCCAAAGAAAAGTTGTTCCTCGACAATTCAGAGAAGGGGATGTGATACTTAATAAAATCTTCCACTCCTGCAAATCCACACCCTTTATGCAAATTCAAACCTAACTAGGAGGGGCCATTCGTGGTTACCCGAGTGCGCGCAGGCAATTCTTTTAAGATAAAAAATCAGGAGGGGTACGAACTCAATGACCCCATTAATGTGATGTATCTCAGAAAATACTACCCGTAACGGGCTCAAAAGAGCGTCAAAAGCATGAAAAAGCATCACAAAGAAAAACAAAAAAAGAAAAATGGACGTAGTGAAAGCCTTAAAAGGCATCACAGGTAAAAAAAAAAAGAATAAAAGATCTCCAAGAATGAGCTTTCGATTTGAAAGAATCAAGTATAAACAAGTACTTGCAAGTTCTAACAATACTGCACAAGTAGACCCTGAGGATGAACACTCCTCTTAAACCCTATAGGTTCCCAACAGAACCAACTCAAAAAGATACGGGAGGGTGACATAAATGGCAAATCGAAGTGACTTTGACGACTCTGGAAGAACGTCGAGACTTCTCCAAGATGGAAGCCCGGCAAGAATCCAGAGAACTCTTCATGGACCTGTGAAGCACAAGATGAAAGCTCCAAAGGTAAAATGACAACTTCGAGGCCTTTGAGTTCTCATGATCCCACAAGGAAATCCTTTCATCATCTTTGGGTAAAACATAATAAAGAAAATAACCACCAAAGGGGCCATAGGTGGTAAAACTGTAAGGCCCATCCCTTTCGAAAATTCTTTTTCAATTTGATTGTTAAAACCATCCATTTCCAAAACTCTTTTTAGAAAGGACTTCCTCCATCACTACAAGAGGTTAAACTGTTAGTCAATCTGGCCTCATTCTCGAAGCCAACTTCCTACGCTTGCTATGAAGGGTAGAAACTAGCCAAGCACTTCATGGTTGTATGAGTATAACTATCAACTACCACATATCAGAGATGGGTGAACCTCGCCAATGACGATATTGGCTAGTCTTGGAGCGTTTTTCTCTCGACTAGATCCCTTGAGGCAAAATGAAGCAAGCTCATCCCTGTGTGTGTGTACGATCCAATAGCCGGGAGTTCGAGACAAATACCCTACAATTAGGGAACTGAATGTGTAGGAATTCAGTTTGAAAAGTGTGTGAAAAAAAAAGAGGGTTCCACTATGCTTCGGTGAATAAAATCGCACACTTATTGATGAACAAGAACCCCCCAACAGGGGCAAGTTGAACAAGGACCCTCAACAGGGGCAATAAAAAAAAAAAAAGTTTTTAAACTCCCCATAATAGGGGCAAGTTGAAAAAGACCTCCCAACTGGGGGCAGCAACAAACACGGGTTAAAAAAAAAAAATATTATATGGGCGATACGCCTAGTGTCGCCTAGCCTGTGGGGGCGACACCACTCATGTTGCCCAAATTCTTTTTGCCAAAATTTTTTTTTTTTAACTCCCAGCTAACACTTAAAAAAAAAAAAATTCATGGGCGACACGCCCAGTGTCGCCCAACCTATGAGGGCGACACTCCTTGTGCCGCCCAGGCTACACCACTGGTGTCGCCCATATCTTTTTGCCAAAAAACGTTTCTTTCAATTCCCCATTTTTCCACATAAAAAAAACAATAATAAAAGTTTTTGGGGGCTACACCACTAGTGTTGCCCAAATTTTTTTTTCAAAAATGTCCCCACTCAATTTTGGGGTCTTCCGGGGATCAAATTTGATTTTATCATGTGTTCTTACGATTGTTTTCAAACATATTAATTTTCAAAAAAATTCAAACGCTCCTCGGTGGCACGAGCCTAAAGTGCCAACCAATTTTCAAAAAATAAAAAGTAATAAAAAATTCAAAAAATTCAAAAAGAAAATGCTCCTCGGTGGCATGAGCCTAAACTGCCAACCAAAGTCCAATTCAAAAAACGTCAAACTCATGCGATGTACAAGATCCAAGACAGGAAAAAAGTCAAATTCATTCGAAGTAAAAGAGCCAAGACAGGTATACCGTCTATCGCCATATGACGATAAAGTTTTGGTGTATCCAGTTCAACGTCAAACTCGTGCAACATAAAAGAGCCGAGGCAGGTAACGTCTAGCCCCGTATGACGTTAAAGGTCGAGTGTATTCCGTCTATCCCCGTGTGACATAAAAAGTCGGGTGTATCCAGTTCAACATCAAACTCGTGCGACGTAAAAGATCCAAGGCAGGTAACGTCTAGTCCCGTATGACGTAAAAAATCAGGTGTATTCTATCTAGCCTCGTATGACATAAAAGGTCGGGTGTATTCCGTCTATCCCTGTATGATAGAAAAGGGTCGGGTGTATTCTGTCTATCCTCGTATGATGTAAAAGGGTTGGGTGTATGGTCCATCGCTTCATGACACTAAACTGCTTAGAGGGCTGTATGGTTGCAACTGTTAACCAACCTTGTTTTTCGAAATATATTTCTTTTTTCAAAATTTTCACTATATGTCTTGTGTTTTCAAAAACTTAATTTTTTTTGTTAAAATTGTAACATGTTCTTGCTCCGGATTCTATTTCAAATCTCCCCCTATTTTCAAAATTTCTAAAAAGTCTTTCAAAATGAATGAGCTTGGACACCCATACATGATGATTACCGCATTACCGCGATTACCTTGTTGCTGCCTCGTCTCTCTCTTCGAAATCGGCCAAACAAGTCTCTTCCTATAGAAAGCCTTAGGAAACCCTAAGGAAATCAAGGAAGATGCCAAGGTTAAAAATTTTCAAACTATGAAACCCCTTAAGTTAAATCCAACTCGAGTTTCAAGTTTATGTAACTCGACGACATCTCATACCGAAAACCCTTGGAGGAAAATACCCTAGGTGGGTGAGC